TAATTTTTTGAATGGTGAGGAAGTTATAAAATGACAAGCATATAACCAAATAAGGTAAAGTAAACGTAACTAGCGAAAGAAAACTTGAAATGAAATAACGCGTGAAGTAAGGTAACAATGAACCAGATATTATACAGACAGATCATATTACTTTACCGGAAACTGAATAATTAAAGTAAATTCTTCAAAGAAGTGTCAATGTCATGTAATATAAGAACCTTCATTATGTAAACAGTTATCATTCTGATAATCTATATCTAAAATTAAGAAAATTTATATACAATGTACACAAGTAAAAAGTTCATTATTTATATACTTATAAACTGCTGACACATTTTTTGGCTTTTATTGAAATAAATTGACAATAGCCATATTTTTCAATCATATTTTTAACCCGAAACTAAATTGACAATAGCCATATTTTTCAATCATATTTTTAATCCGAAACTATCTTTTTTCCGTTGGATGTAAAATCAATACATTTGTTACTCATTATACAAAGCTCATACCCTCTGTTCTGTTTACATCTGAAGTCACGCGGTAGAACTTCTTTTAAATATACTTCAGGACAATGAAAACGCGCGCCCGCAATATTTGCATTTTATTTCATGAAACAAAACACTTACGACTCCATCAGATATATATGAGCCGCGTCACGACAAAACCAACATAATGGGTTTGCGACCAGCATGGATGCGCAGGCTGGTCTGGATCCATGCTGGTCGCAAACCCATTATGTTGGTTTTGTCGTGACGCGGCTCATATCATAACATTATTACAAAATACAAACTTAGCAACTGAAAATAGTTCATCACAGTAATACAAACTTAACAAAGGCAAAAACCAAAATAAAAATCCAAAACAAAGTCACTCATTAATGTCTATTCATAATGTCACAGTCGGGAGTTTAGAAATGACAATGTCCTCCATCAGCGTCTCTTACTGGGGTACATCGTCGCCTCATGGACCTTACTAGGGTGCGGATTGTCGCCTGTGGAATCTGACGCCATTCGGCCTGTAGTACAACACGTCACGAATATTTTGTCTCTTCCGAATCCATTACTTTAAGTGGTCCCAAAGTTGTTCAATTTGGTTGAAGTCTGCAGACATGGATGGCGAAAAAGCTGTAGCCCGTTCTGTTGCAGAAAATTCAAGGATTCTCTTGAAAGTCTATGGTGAAAATAATGGTAGGCCACGGTATGGCCTGTGACAACGAAGACCAGCATCCCTCAAACGTCGACGAATGGTGCGAGCAGAGACCATCGGATTTCGGCGTCCTGTAATAGTAATTGCAGTTCTTGCTGGTGCCAAAATCGATTGGCAATGTGAACAAGGCGAATGTTGGTATCTTGGCGTGCTGTAGTCGCCATCCGCTGGCCTGGTCTCCGTCGGTCGTTCACGATACCAGAAGTACGAAAACGCTGGTGTAGGCGAGAAATCACCAAAACAGTTGGCGATTTGTTGGTAGGATAGACCAGCCTGAATCTGTCCTAAAGCTACCCAACGGTTATTTCTTTGTAGAACCATTGAGTACAATTTGGTAGCACGGCTTGAGTAGTTTTTTTCAAATTTAGCACCTTTTATAGGGGAAAATTGTGTGTGCATGCAATTTCCATTGGAGATTTTACGATTTCTAAAACTAACCATTGGCATAGTTTAAACTTCATTTTCATAAAGATTCTAATTGCTTATTTGTGTCTAACATTTCTAGAAAGTGTGGGTAATACTTAACATTTTGAAAATTAAATAATTTCATTTTATAAAGTAACAATGAATTGGTTCAATCTGCTTCCTGTTGTGATCATATTACATAAGCCATAAGTGTTACTTTTGATTTTTCGGGTACTGTCAATATTACGCAATAACTTCTTGAAAATGCAATCATTTTACATAATTTAGGTGTCTTACTGACCGCAATGCATTTGATTTTATGAAACTTTGAAAAAATATTTATAAGAAATATAATTATTTTCCTTGTTAAAATGCAATTATCCCAACCGTGCGCTTTCATTGTCCTTAAGTATACTTAAGTATAACTCCAGGATTATTATGATTAATCATCGCGGTGATCCGATTGAATTAGAAATAAATGCATAATGTATGGTATAAAAACCCATTAGCGATTTATGTATGTGTGCTATATGAATGATAATTTACAATGCAAACAAAATGCAAAAGATACGGAAGACAATATAGGACTATATACACAAATCAAACAAAGGAAACGCCTTTGTCTTTCAAGGAGCAAGTATATCTTATATATTTACGTTGTCGACGTCTTTCCTTATCGACGTCTTTGATAAAAATGTAAACGGTTTGGAATTACATAGACTCGTATGTCTTCCAGTGAAATCGGCAACAGCATGGTCTTACCAATTCTGCATCTGAAGATATACTGTAAGTTTACAGATTAAATGAAGTGTTAAGATTATTTCAAACTTATGCTGGCCTCGACATATGACATTCATGACAACGTGAAACAACTCTCAACAACATTACATGACCCTAGACACAGTCAGTTGTTCTTGACCAGCACTTTACATCTGTTTGCATACTGACATTTGAAAAGATACGTATACATACATGGCAAATGTTATAAGTTTTATTAAACTGCACGGGTAATATACATTTCCAAACAATCGTTTATATAGGGCCATATAACCTGTCAAAAATCTTTATAACGACTAATATAACATGAATAAGGGAAACATATAAACTATTACGGGCATTTTGAACTATATAAGTTCTCACCAATTAATGAAACCTTGTTTAAACACTTAGAGCTGTAGTGTGCCACATTAACTAATTTTCACACGGACTGTTATGTTACTACTTATATCTTAATTGATGTTTCATCCTTTCAGACAGCTCATTGTAGACAATTTACGTCCCGAAAGTAAATATGATTAAATGAGGTCTGTTATTTACAATTGCATTCATATCTTTAACTTTCTTTTCAATTTCATTCTTAACAAATAGCATGACCTATGGCGAAAAATGTTATGTTTCGCTGGGAAACATGTTACCCGGAAACTTAAAATTCTCCGAATTCCTGTCTGTAAAACTGTTGATTATAGATCTCAAACTCAGTCTCCATGCTATTGTGTACATGTCTGTTAATTCTCATTATCATATATTGAATTTGGCCAATATTCACGATATTCAAATTATTTTCGACCATTTTCATAAATATATCTCCCTAAGAGACAACGATATACACTTGACCAGTTTAGAAATTTTAACATTATTCAATGCTCTTTATCTCTTTTTATAAATAAATATTATGATAGAACACGTTTTCGTAAACTGTGTCACTTAATTCTTGATGGTGTTTTGATTAACCCAGCTGCAAATTTTGCGGGTTTTTTAAGGGTGCTTGAAATAAGGACAATTTTAATAAAATGTTTTTATCTGACATCATATCTTTTGTTAGTTTTGCTTCAACGTATTTCTCAAAATATGGGGATATATAAATTTTGTTCAGTGTAAATTATCCTTCAGCTGATATATACTAATGTATACACGTACCTAAGGTAAGGGTTTTATTTGTTAATTGTACATAGTAACTGGACATTTGGACATGCAGTTGTGTCAAATAATCTTTATCCAAAATGATTTCATTTTTATGTAATTGTGATGTATGCTAGCAGTTTAATATCAAGTCAGTTTACACATCTGTGCTGAATTGCTACGATTGTCTCCTTAATTATTATATTTCTAATAATTTATGTTTATACCGAAATCTCCTAGAACACTTACGGATTTTATAAAAGTTCAACGCAAAACAAATGTGCGTACCAGACAAATTCTTAAGGAAAATAAACAAACAAAAACAAAAAAGCCTGAAGATATCTATCATTATTTCCTGTTTATAATAGTCAATTTTTTGATAACATGTCGTCTGCATGCTTCATCGGGTGCTAAAATACCACACGGAAGATTATATACCACTCACGGGGGAAAATAAACACTTCTTTACGTTTATTCTAAATAAGACATGATTTCATTTTGATAAAGTGTTTCATTTAGTCATAGAAGCCACAAAAACTATTCAAAGTTATAAACACATAGGTTAAATCACATAAAAATCAGTCATCAAGACCTTGAAACAGACCGATTATTAATGTAAAATGGCCACAGTTACTTCTCTTATCAAAATGACCGCAGTTACTTCTCTTATTAAATTGACCGCAGTTGCTTCTCTTAAAAATGACAACAGTTCTTCTCTTTTTAAAATGACCGCAGTTCCTTCTCCGCAGTTGCTTCTCTTAAAAAATGACCACAGTTGCTTCTCTTATTAAAATGACCGCAGTTTCTTCTCTAATTATAATAGCCGCAGTTACTTCTCTTATTAAAATGACAGCAGTTGATTCTCTTATTAAAATGACCGCAGTTGCTTCTCTAATCTTAATTGATCGCAGTTACTTCTCTTATTAAAATGACCGCTTCTCTTATTAAAATGACCGCAGTTGCTTCTCTTATTAAATTGACCGCAGTTGCTTCTCTTAAAAAATGACCACAGTTGCTTCTCTTATTAAAATGACCGCAGTTTCTTCTCTAATTATAATAGCCGCAGTTGCTTCTCTAATCAAAATTGACAGCAGTTACTTCTCTTATTAAAATGACGACGGCAGTTACTTCTCTTATTAAAATGACCGCAGTTGCTTTTCTTATTAAAATGACCACAGTTGCTTCTCTTATTAAAATGACCGTAGTTACTTCTCTTATTAAAATGACCGCAGTTTTTTCTCCAATTATAATAGCCGCAGTTACTTCTCTTATTAAAATGACCGCAGTGGATTCTCTTAACAAAATGACCGTAGTTACTTCTCTTATTAAAATGACCGCAGTTTTTCTCCAATTATAATAAAGGGAGTTTTATTTTCCTTAAAACAGTATACGAGCGGGCCTTTTAAGCTCCGCCAACTACAGTAACCAGATTGAATCACGCTTCTGCAAGTTTCGCGATTGAGATAACTGACAAAATATGATATAAATAAAAAACTTACATTTAATTAGATATACAATGGATTTAATCATAATTAAAAAATAATATGATGAAAACAATAATATGATGAAACAAATAATATGATGCAGAATTAAGAAACAAATACAATCATAATCAAAGATGACTCTGTCCCTATTATATCACATCACTTTGTCAAAAACTTATGAATGCGTTTGAAGTCACGATATGATATATACATGTACATGTATAAATCTGTGCTTATATGTATTATTTAAACAAGGGGCGCCAGGCTAAGAGTATGTCTTTTCATTGCTGTTGGTATACATGAATGTATGTAGCGTTGCTGTGAATATAGTTTATGTTCATAGTAAGTGAGAAAATATGAAGTAAAATCTTATTGACTAAAGCGAGGCTCGCCCTTTATCACTTGCAAATCCTCCCTTATACCAATAAGACTTCAACTGTAACTAAAATAGCCGCAGCTGCTTCTCTAATATATAATGGTCATGGATGTTTCTTTCATATATAAAATTTAAAATGGTCGTACCCGCTTCCCTAATTTGAGGTTAAAATAGTCACAGCTTCTTCTCTTATCTAATATGGTAGCAGCTGATACTGTAATCTTAAAGTCGCAGCTGCTTTCCTAACCAAATATGGTCGCATCCGCTTCTATCCTTAAAAATAGTCGCATCTGCTTCCCTTACTGAAATGGTTGCATATGTTTGAATTTCCCTAACCAAAAATGGTCGCACCTGCTTCTATCCTTAAAAATAGTCGCATCTGCTTCCATTACTGAAAATGGTCGCATCTGTTTGAATTTCCCTAACTGAAAATGGTCGCATCTGCTTCCCTAACTTAAAATGATCGCATCTGCTTCCCTTTCTGAACATGGTCGCATCTGCTACACTAACTCAAAATGGTTAACTCAAAATGGTCCTATCTGTTTCTTTAATTCAAAACTGTTTCTCTTTGCAGCTGCTTCCTAATAGTAAATGACCGCAGTTATTTCTCTAACTAAAAATGGCCGCAGCCAGCTATTGCTCTAATTTAAAATGGCCACAGCTGTTTATTTAATTTAAAATGGCCACTTCTGATTCTCTAATTGAAAAAATGGTTGCAGCTGCTTGTTTAATCTAAATTGGTCGCAACTGCTTCTCCAATTTTTCAAGCCTGAGCTGGACCAAGTAATACTCATCTTCTGCCATGATGCCACAGATGATATCTACACAGTCTTGTATCGTATGTGGGGCCTTACATGCGGACAATACACTTCCTATTACGGGTATCATATACTTTGAATAGCGCCGAAACTTTGAGAACCGAAACTCCTCACTTTGAGTGTACAGTTTATCAACATGATTCAGTTGTTCTGTATTGAACGCGCTCAAATGATAAGCTTTAAGACTTTCAACGGATAGGTCTATTTCATCTGAAACTTTGCCGAGGGACTCATCATCTAAATTGAATTTCACAAGACACTTGCTCCGAATTTTCTCAACTATGTGTTGGTTCAGAGCTGTCTCAAGTTTTGGCACAGGTAAAAATCCATACAGTGCTGAAACTACTTTCGAGCTGGTAAATTCATGTTTGGCAGCATCTCTCTTTGCTTTTATTGCTTTTTCAAGATGTTGTTGTAATACTCGACAAATAGAAACACCTTTGATGTTCATTAAACTTCGTAACTTCGTCACTAGAGAAGGAAAATCATACTTTCCTTGCTCCGGATTGCTTACCAAATATATAACATCACTAAATTCAGCAGCATCACTACAAGAGCTTACGTGTTTTCTTATGTCCATTCGGATCGTTTCTATACATTTCGCCTCGTCAAAAGCATCTTGGTCATCTCTACTAGCATTTATTAGATCAAAATCTAATTTGGTTCGTACAAAGATCACATTTTTACCAAGACCCCATGCCTGTTCGGCTAGCCAAACATCAGTTTCTAGAAATCGAGTTGCTGTTACAACCAGTACTATATCAAATTTAGATAGCTCCATATCGTTTATATATGTTTCTTGTTTAAATTTCCCTGTTCCCATCCCTGGGAGATCCCATAGAACAACCTTGTCATTTTCTGGAAATTCATACTTCTGTATTTTTGTGGTAGTTTCTTTAATTCCAACAGGAGCTGCCCCGATAGCTTTTGGTTTTAAGCCTCTTATAGCATTTATCAAGCTCGACTTTCCAACACCAGAATGACCAGTTATTGCTACATTAATTTTCTTACTTGCCCACCATTCTTTTGTATTGTTGATGTAATTGTTCAGACCGAGTAATGTACCCGCTTCTTCTATTTCCGTATCTAATTTAGCTTCTTGAACAAATGCCTGAGCATTCTGGAAGTATAAAGATATTCAACTGTTTAGTCTTCTAACAAAGAATGTACTTATATCATACGTCCGTCTTGGTAAAATTTATTTAATATTATAATAGAAACACATCAAAGGACTGAACTTCATAATCTGTTAAAAAATAAATTCCAAGAAAGCACAATAACTTAAAGATTTTACTTCGTAAGAGCTGCTATGCCGCATCGTCCTTGACTTCTGTTTATTTTTTTCATCTATATCACCCACGAGATCTTCTGTAAAATCGTTGTGAAACACCATCTCAAAGTCCTCCTCGTCTGTTTTCTTCCCCTCATATATATCATCATCTAATAGTTTCATTGTAAACTCCACCTCGTCGTCTCTTATCATTTTACCCAGATTCATACAGTAATGTCAAATTCTGCAATATAACAGTTTTATCATGTACTATGAATTATGTAACACAATTTTTTCATAATAAATAAATAATCAGTTACTTAATATAAGTGACATATTTGAACGTTTGCTAAGTCGTGATTGACAAGGTTTTTCCATTATGAAATCTATGGTCTCAGTAACACGGAAATATTTTCATTCTGATGGAAGGAGAAATATAAAAATATTGGTCATTTCCGTGATACGTATATAAATGCTCAAACCTGACATAAAAAGGTTGAGCAGTGGTGTTAACTTAACATAATATGGCATTTTGCATTCTTATAGGCGCGGGTTATCACATAAAGTATAAAAATCTATCTTTCATTATAGACTATTGTCAAATGAATTAGTCAAAGATGAAAATTATTAGCTAGGAATTTACATTGATGGCATACTCGGATAGTTAACGTTACAGAATAATTAAATTTAAAAGATTAATTCTGCCGTTTTAAAACCGAAATTAAGTGAAGATATTTTAATGTAATATACAATCAAACCATTATTTAATAATGGACATGTACTGTGGTGTAATAGAGAGGAAAATATTAACCCCAGGTACATTGTATATGATATACAAACACGTGCTGTAAAAATGATACTCCGTAAATAATATGACCATTCATCCCTTTTGTCACTTAAATTATTTAACGTTCAGTACACGAAGAAACTATCCTATTCGAATACTTGTATTCAAGAAGATAAATAATCTAATACCAACATTACATGTATTTAAAGACTTCATACACAAATAGAATAACATATTCTCTACTATCTTTACAACGCCTTGATTTTTCAGCAACCCTGTGTTACATGTAGCCCAATTTTACAAATGCCCATTTCAGTATTATGCAGAACAAGTGTGGCAAAACTTCCAACTCACTTTTGTTTGAAATTATCAATAATTGATACAGTACTGTACATAAATTAGTTATATGATATAACATTTTTAAACAAGTTGCATAATTTAAATATATCAAGAACTTTATTAATTCATAAACGGTATTCACTCAATACCCGGCGTGACCATCGGCCGACTTTATTTAAATGCGTAAATGTCTCGTGAATGTGATATTAAAATAGATATGAAAACTGTTCTATTCCCGCTGAATAGCAATAGTAAATTCCTGCCAGTTTCAAAATTTAGCGTTTGACAAAGAAACAAAAGAACTTTCCTTTTTGATGCAACTTTGTTGTTCACATTTCGTATCTTAAGATTTTTTGTGAATTCTTAATTTTATTTATTATATTTAAAGTAAATGTGTTTATGTAAATGTGCTCGAGTTATTTAACTACACGCTGTCATTCTATTCACAACAGATAGTAATCACCGTGTGATACAACCAGATTGCTGGTGCGCTGTAGTAGTGATGGGAAATTCACGATAGATAATATTTTTTTGCCATTGAAGTGAGAAAATGGTAATAAATCTGAATCGATCAATTTTATGTAAATAATTTGCACGTGCAAATCATAAATCCGCTCCAGCGTAAAACAGCTGGTCGGTTATCAGCCGTGTAATTATTAGACACATTTTATCATTGAACATGAACATAATTATATTGTACATTATCTGAAATGTTTATTTGAATTAAATCATAATTAAAAGAATAATCAAAGTTTAAATATGTAAATTTGATGTTTTGCGCAGTACTCAGTATATGTTAATAAACAATTCTGAAAAAAGACAACTTACGATTACAGCTTGGTTTATTATATCCTGTAACATTCATACATCTCTGAATAAACTGCTCACTATGTTCTGTATTTTCGTTACTGCCAGTATGTCTCTATGTTGACGACTAGGACACTATCTCATATTATATATATTACCTGAAATTTGCTGCAATAAGTTCCTGTAGTTAATAAGGAAACAAGTGTCAAGAGCATTTGAGGACTTTTTCAATATCAGTTACTATTTTCCAGTGTTTGAGGAAATTTAAGAAAACTTTCAGTAAAAGTGAGTCATACATTATAACCCTACCTTTAAAATAACTCCACCCCAAATGAACAGAAAAAGAAGCAAACTTTAGTTCGACAATTAAATAACCTTGATACATAGATGTGTTCATTTGTTGTGTTTTTCAACAATGAAGAACACATCATCTATTAACCTAACAACCTAACAAGTAAAATTTATATGTATCAATCTTACCAAATTCACTTAACTTTTAACATGTTTAGTGAAAAAAAAAATAAAAATATAAACAAAAATATGTAAAACATATGAACTGTAGAAAAAAATATTGTTGATTTTTCATCAATTTCTGACACAAAAGTGTGAAAATCAATATAGTCATATTTTACAAATCCATGGATTTTTTTATTCAAGAGTTAGATGAAAATTGTAAATTGTTATAATTGACGGTTTTTACATATTTTGTTCCCATATATGGTTAAGCATAATTTAAAGGAAACCTAAGATATTGTTTGGTCCACTAGATGTTGACAAACTTAGTTGATCATAATATGAGAATATGTCCTTTACTCAGAAATAAACAAGAGCTGTCACGCAAGTGACGAATGCCTCGAAAAGGTTTCTTAAGCATGCAGGTATTATGAAAAGAGTAACTAATTGCTAACTATTGTTCTTGTGAAATGAAGTGCTACTTATAGCAAACTTAACATCTTGGGACAAGGGTCTCGGATGCGACAAGTCATCTTGATATTGTAGATATATATGCCAAGTTATTTTAAAATCCTTAAATGCATGACAATGTTATAATTTGACTCCAAACTCTTCTTATGAGCATAAGTACCTTCAAACTTAAGTGACCTTGACCTTGGAGGTAGGAACATGAGTCTTACATCTTGATGCAGTAGACATTTGTGCCAAGTTATTTTAAAACTCTTCAATGCATGCCAAAAGTTATAATCCAGCCACGAATGTGTGTACCTATAATCTCTAATTGTGATAGCGTGAACCTTTAATATATAATTGTAACCTTGACCTTTAAAGAAGGAACGTAGTTCTTGGATGCGACACAACGTTGTCATGTGATAGACATTAAATGTGCAAAGTTATTTCAAAATCCCTCAATGCATGACAAAGTTACAGCCTGGACATGATTGTTGTGTAAGTGGGGAAGCACGGACGGACATGAGCCTTGGCCGCGACACATCATCTTGATGTGGTAGACATTTAAGCCAATTTATTTTAAAATCCTTCCATGCATGACAAAGTTACAGTCCGGACACGAATGTAAGTACCATTAAACTCTTATTGTGATAAAGTGAAATTTCAAAATGTTAGTGTGACCTTGACCTTTGAGGTAGGAACGTTATTCTTGGGCGCGACACATCGTCTTGGTGTGGTAGACATTTAAGCCAAGTTATCTAGTTATTTTAAAATCCTTTGATGCATAACAAAGTAACAGTCTGGACACAAATGTGTGCATCTATAAACTCTTATTGTGATAAAGTGAAACTTCAATATGTTAGTGTGACCTTGATCTTTGAGGTAGGGACGTAATTCTTGGACCTAGGGTTAGACCTAACCCTACATCATTTTGATGTGGTTGACATTTATGCATGACAAAGTTACGGTACGGACACCGTGTGTACCTGTGATAATGTGACACTTCAAAACGTGTGACATTGACGTTTGATGTAAGGATGTGGTTCTTGGAGTCCTAAGGCTCCCACGTTTACAATTTTTTGTAAACGTTTACACGATTGCTAAGAACCGAAACGATACCGTTTAAACGGTGGTACCTCTAAGTACTATATACACCATGTATATATGTCGCCAAATGATGACTTACTTTCTATTTTTAATGCATGTACAAATAAAGAATGTCCAAGGCTCATCACGATTGAGTCAGCACACATTTTTGCATTGTAACCCCTTTTTTTTAACCAAAGATGTATTATGTCACGAGCAATTTTTGCACGGTAATGCTGTGTGGAGAGTTGTACACACACATTTTCCGTTGTTTTTTTTTACTTTGGAATAAACCACTAGAATTGATAAAATCCATAATTACAGGCAATGATAAGACAATATGGTCATTTCGATTAAACGGTAAAATATATCGTAAACGTTTACGAATGAAAATCGAAACGAATCCGTTTAAACGTCTTACCGTGGGGCCTTATCTTGGACGCGACACATCGTCTTGACATTTGTGCCAGGCTATTTCAAAAGCCCTCAATGTATAACAAAGTTACAGTCCATTCGTAGAATGAAGTGGGGACGCACAGACAGATAGACAGACACAGACAGATGGTGCGATTTTAATATGCCGCAATTCGGGGGGGGGATAAAAAACTAGTTTTCCTCAGTTTCAAGAGCAGTTTTTTTGTTTTCAATATAGAAAATAAAACAACTCTTCACAAGTAGTCTCCCTTTGACATACTTTTAAAGTTTAAGTAAATGATGAAAAAGGACACAGTATTGAGTAAATATATAAATGGTATTACTTTATTACCTATACAGATTCAAAATGACAACAAAAACTGTTCAGATTTTCAATTTGTACATGAGACTGACATAACATGAATACACAGCATAAAAAATATACACAATGTTCTCAATAATAGCAACAACCTGCCACCTGTTTACCTCTATAGGTGTGGTTGCCACCTGTTTACCTCTATAGGTGTGGTTGCCACCTGTTTACCTCTATAGGTGTGGTTGCCACCTGTTTACCTCTATAGGTGTGGTTGCCACCTGTTTACCTCTATAGATGTGGTTGCCACCTGTTTACCTCTAGGTGTGGTTGCCACCTGATTACCTCTATAGGTGTGGTTGCCACCTGTTTACCTCTAGGTGTGGTTGCCACCTGATTACCTCTATAGGTGTGGTTGCTACCTGTTTACACCTCTAGGTGTGTTCTATCAATGCTGTAACTAAATATTTTTGTATAACAGAACGATACATCATGGATATTTTGTACCAGTAATCACTTATTAAACCAGACATAGATTTGAAATAACTAGTAGCTTATAGGTAATAATGCCATATCAGTATTACAGTCAGACTAATTCAGTCAGATATCAGATCAGTATAGTAATTCTTGCTACAGGGAACTAATTAGTTGTGAAGTCATCATGTTTATCTAGCTGCCAATCTTGTCAACAAGTCCACTACCCTCAACACCATTGTAGAAGAAAAAGTTATTATGTGGGGCATCTTTATGAGACACAGCCTGAAAACATAAAATCATTTACTATATTTCCTTATTATAATGGTTATGACGGTAGGCATGTACCTCATTTAATTCCCTCCTGACAATACTTGCTCCCTATTATAGTGTTGATAATCTCTTTATAAATGACAACAAGGAAGCAATGTTGTAAAGATAGATCAAGATAAAGATCCCAATTCTAGTTCAGTACACTTACATAATGTTTTGTTTAATGTTAGAATAAACTGATGTATGTGGAGAGCACTGTAAAATGTATATATAAAGTTCTCAGTTAATAATAGTTTTAATAGAGGAAAATTAGAGGTAATACTGAGTTAACTTCCCACCTGTAAATTAAACCTATCTTCCTTGACAGATGTTAATATGTTATATAATAATAATATATATGTTCAATTCAATATCTATATACTTTATACAACATCTGACAATTGCATCAAACAATCAATTCTATGACTTGGTCATCCTTGATGTTGTTATATTTATGATTGTAAGTTTGTTTATATCAGAGGAACTGAAACAGTACTGGAGTGGATGCATCAACATCATGTAACAAAAATAAACTAAGTCAAGAAGAACAAAATATGAACACGTTGAACACTAATATTACATACCTTGATTATTTCCTGACCAAGTACTCCACCAACTATTGCACAAACTGGACTCAACTCAGCAAAACATTTACTGTAATATAAGCCAATATGATTTCCCCTGAATTAATGCACATTACAACCATTGAAAGCAACTTGTATAACTAATAATATAACATCAATGGGTATGTAGTAGACAGTGATCAAATATATCAGTAAGTATTCAAAGAAAATAAAACAATATTTAATGAAGTGATCTCATATAACATCAGCAGTTATATAATATAGCGTAATCACATATAACACCAGCAGTTATATGATATAGCGTGATCACATATAACAGCATCAGTCATATAATATAGCGTGATCACATATAACAGCAGCAGTTATATAATATAGCGTGATAACATATAACAGCAGCAGTCATATAATATAGCGTGATCACATATAACACCAGCAGGTATATAATATAGCGTGATCACAAATAACACCAGCAGTTATATAATATAGCATGATCACATATAACATCAGGAGTCATATAATATAGCGTGGTCACATATAACATCAGGAGTCATATAATATAGCGTGATCACATATAACAGCAGCAGTCATATAATATAGCGTGATCACATATAACAGCAGCAGTCATATAATATAGCATGATCACATATAACAGCAGCAGTCATATAATATAGCGTGATCACATATAACAGCAGCAGTCATATAATATAGCATGATCACATATAACAGCAGCAGGTATATAATATAGTGTGATCACATATAACAGCAGCAGGTATATAATAGTGTGATCTCATATAACATCAGCAGTCATATAATATAGCGTGATCACATATAACAGCAGCAGGTATATAATATAGTGTGATCTCATATTCATCAAACCTCAGATTACGAGTTACATTTAATGTGGACGACTATCTCACCTAGTAAATTCATCATCAATGAGGTCAGAATTCACACCTATTTGCTCCAGAACTTCAGATTTCAGAGTAGATAATAGTTTTTTGTCTTCTGACACTGAACTTACAGCTGGACGCCTCCCTTCGTTCTCCATAAACTGTAACAGCACTAGAAAATAAATTATGATTTACTTTATGTTACAATATAAGTACAATGTAACAGAAAACTGAGAAAAAATCTTGATAGTGTACAAATAGCTTAAACCCTTGTATAATTTCATATAGACAAAAAAAAAGAGTTTTTTTCTCTTATTTGGGAAGAGGACTTAGACTCTGATTTAAGGAAGTATCATTGCTAAATTGCTGATTTGGGAAAGAAAAAAGTTTGCATTTCTGGGAAAACTGCATGATTATAAAGAAATTTTTTTTTTGGAAAGAGGCATTTTACATGGCCCTGTGATATAAGGTGAAAAAGAATTTACTGTTTGTTATCGATGAAATGATCAAATCAGATTTTACTAAACAGATTTCATAAGAATCTATATTTAGAAGCCCTTCATAAACGATTGTTTATATAAAGAAAACATTTAAAACAGAAGTGACATCCTACCACAGGGGTTAAATGTCAGCCTTTCAATCTTTTTAATCCGGCTGATGGAGTCGGTGGTGGCACTGGATTTGTGTAAGCTGAGGCAATAGTACACCTTTTTTAAAAGGTATTAATGTTCAGTGCCGCAATAAAAAGGGGGGTGGGCAAATGTCCTAGAAACCTGTGTTTACTGTTTACTTCAAATTTGATTTTTATTTCTTTCAATTTACTATAGAGGCATGTGGTTTTATAGAGTCTGCATTAAGGAAAAACCTAACCACTTTCTAAAAACATAAAAAATTCATTGCCCTTAAAGAAAAAGAAATTTGTATAAAATTATGTACCTTTCATAATAAAATAAGCAGATGGTGTCCTTTTAACTTTCTTCACATTGTCAGACGATTTCCAGTCTACAGTCATAGCATCCTTAAATCTTGTAAACTGTGCTGACTGTAATACAATAAATACATAATCATTATAACATTCTAGTATCACAAATATACAACTATAACAGATTACTTATACATTGTAAAATTTATAAAATCTTAAAAATAACTCCTAACACTGAAATGTTTGTTTTATAATGACATAGAAATACTTGTGATAAAAAATGTATTGCAGATCAGACAAAACAGTAATTCAGTACTTCAGTAAACTTAACAGTACTTCTGAAATATTTACTCTTTTTTTTATTTTTGGTTTTCATGTTAGATATTGTCATGCAAGATATTAGTATTAACTATTAAATCAAAATGTCTGATACTCTACATTTTTGTAATATTCAATATGTTCACATGAAATAATCAGTTATTGTTTATTTATCATTATCTAATCAACTTATTTTTTTAATCAATATCTTAATTACTGCAACTTTCCTTAAATGTTTACTTTTCTTTTGTTTTCATTTAAAAAAAAATTAAAACCATTTGATCCATTTTATTCTGTTCAGGACAGAAACTCCTAGCCAATATTTATAATAATATTGGCTTAAATTTACTTTAAATGAATTCTGATTGGTCAGGAATTATATCCTTAATGTCTTAAAGGTTATACATGTAAAAAGCATGTTGCTTCTAAACTGATCAGGAACAGCACTATTACAAAGTTAAGTTGGAAAGGTGTCAATATTCCATCAGATAGTCAATACACAATCTTAGTCCGTTACCATTAAGAAAATAATCCTAAATGTAAGTTAAGTGATTACATAATTATTTGTATAAGCATTTTATACTGGCAAAACCTATTTTTAACCAAAGAACAGAAACTAGGTCAAAGTGTTAATGTCATTTGTTTAGGAACTTTTTAAGCATGAACACTAATAAGTACAAACACTAACATAGTAGTGTATGATACATACAGCAAGTAATGCTTATTTGTTTGTTTGTTTGTTTCATTTTACGCCTTTTCCCAACAATATTTCAGTCATATAGGCGGGTAGTTTTCTAACCATTGTTCCTGGAGAGTTACACCAGTACTAGATTACCTTCCTCTGTACAAAACTACCAAAGCATCTCCCGGGGATCAAACCCACGCCAGAGAGGTAACTGGATTAGAAATCATCGACTCTAACCCCTCAACCACAGAGGCTTACTGATGCTAAGTAAATGAATGTAAATTTTGAACTTGTGATGTTTTTTTGAAACAGCCATCCTGACATAACAAGAAGAACAATAACTTACATTTTTGACAGTAACTGTTTCCATTTCATCAGTTTTAGCTTTCTTTGTGGCTGGTTCCCCATCACCCTGGGATGATGTTGATGCTGTCACCTTTCTCTGTACTTCCCTGAAAATAATATACATCTTTATGCATACACCAATCTAAGATAAAAAACAAACAAAACTGGTGTAACTTTAGGTTTATACAGAAACCTTGCTGTACTAGCAATTCAAATTTGAGGCTTTGTTATAGTTCTGGTCATATCATAAATACCTGAAGTACAATGTACTTCTCAAACCTCTAATATGAAAATGTTATTTTAACTGTAACTAGTTTTGACATACCTACATTAATGAAATATCACTAATCATTATACTGTATGATGTATGGCACACTAAGGTAACATACACAAGTTTTCATTATGACTGAAGGCATTTAATATAATTATCAACTATTTCTCAAGACTGTTATAAACATACTCAGCATATTCGTGAAATCCAAGATCAGAGAACATGTATCCATAGTAACCCATCACATCACCACAGTAAAACTTTATCTTGTTCTCACTGCATATTGTATTTATCTTATATAATTGTGTAGGTTTACAGCATAGTGCACAGATTACATCAAAATTCTTATAGAAATCATCTGGTTTGTTATCAACATCTTGTGGGTCAGCTGTCACATCTACCATTGGGTTGAGAAGTTGTGTACGATCTCGGGAACATTCTGCTCTCTGTTTACAAGTTTTATAAAACAATTTAATACTGAGCCTATAAATTATAAACTATGATTTTCTTACCAGCACTACATGATAATATGTCTATAAATATGATGCTTCCAACAAGCAAAAATTATAGTTTACTTAAATAAATGTTTTGTTTTAAAAATTAAAACAGGCATTTATATTATTAAAAGCAAATCAATGTATTGAAATACAAATATTTATAAAACTAAAGCATTATTATCCAATCATATAGTTTGAAATTATTTTGTACTAACAATTCTATATGACAGAGTATTAGAAAGAACCTCTTACATTTTTACCAACATCTGTTCTTGCCACAAGAAAGTTGGAACAAGCATCTTCTTCAGTTACCTACACACAAACAAATAAATAAATCATTGATCACACAAACAAATTAATAAATTAGTGATATAATGAAACTGTTCTTATATATAAATCAAGTATTCATTTATTGTTTAACATCAATGTGCTTTTTATTCACAAACATTGCCTGCATGAATACATACAAGTAAATATATATTCAATGTTCCAAAATATCAGCAGTAAACAAATATTCAATGTTCCAACATACCAGCAGTAAACATATATTCAATGTTCCAACATATCAGCAGTAAACATATATTCAATGTTCCAACATACCAGCAGTAAACATATATTCAATGTTCCAACATACAAGCAGTAAACATATATTCAATGTTCCAACATATCAGCAGTAAACATATATTCAATGTTCCAACATACCAGCAGTAAACATATATTCAATGTTCCAACATATCAGCAGTAAACATATATTCAATGTTCCAACATATCAGCAGTAAACATATATTCAATAATCAAATACAAATTTTATATGGTATTAACCAGCACTAAATCCTGTCTTTTACACATCATTGCTGTATGTATATATGTTTACATTCATTATCAAGTCACTTAATAGATAAATAAATTTTAATAAAAAATTCAAAAAATAAAAGTAATACTGCATTAAGATTTCAATAAACACTGAAAAAAAGCTTGTAGAAAATTGTAATTAAAACACTTCTTAGTAAATACTATGATATACAGCATGAATAACTTACATTGGTTACAATGATACTGCGATATACATCATGAATAACTTACATTGGTTACAATGATACTATGATATACAGCATGAATAACTTACATTGGTATGATACTGCGATATACAGCATGAATAACTTACATTAGTATGAAACTATAATATACAGCATGAATAACTTAACATTGGTATGATACTACGATATTTAGCATGAATAACTCACATTTGTATGATACTACGATATAGCATGAATAACTTACATTGGTATGATACTACGATATACAGCATGAATAACTTACATTGGTATGACACTACTATATACAGCATGGATAACTCACATTGGTATGATACTGCGATATACAGCATGAATAACTAACATTGGTATGATACTACAATATACAGCATGAATAACTAACATTGGTATGATACTGCGATATACAGCATGAATAAATCACATTGGTATAATGTTATATAGCATGAATATAAACTTACAATGGTATGATACTGCGATATACAGCATGAATAACTTACATTGGTATGAAACTATGATATACAGCATGAATAACTTACATTGGTATGATACTACGATATACAGCATGAATAACTTACATTGGTATGATACTACGATATACAGCATGAATTACTTACATTGGTATGATACTATGATATACAGCATGAATAACTTACATTGGTATGATACTACGATATACAGCATGAATAAGTTAACATTGGTATGATACTGCAATATACAGCATGAATAACTTACATTGGTATGTAACTACTATGTACAGCATGAATAACTTACATTGGTATGATCAAGTAAAGTCAAAGACTTCACTCCAGCAAGAACTATATTTTTAGCAACTTCAGCACCAAGACCTCGCACACCAATAAGCAGAACCCTGGCAGCTCTTAATCTGAAAATAGATAAGACTGATATATTTGACATGTTTGTGGTGTGGAATATCTGTTCCTTGTCTGAAATGTACTTAAAGTTTGGAATATCTGTCCCTCGAGGAATCACGAATGATTATTCTGAAGAGCAAACACATGCCACTGATGATGTCAGATATCATTTATTGCATATTCTGCCATATTTTAGATGGCTTAGCTCAATACATTAATTATTTTTGGAATAAAATGTCATTTAATCCATTATTATTTTGTTATAGTAGCAAGTGAATTTATTACTTCATTCAAATCGCAAAAGTATATCATCCTATGTTGTCTTATTAGGAGGCTGCATAAAATTATTCTTGCATCTGAGTCGGAACCAGTGCATGAGTAGGTTAGGGTATTTTTTGCAGTAGTAAGAGATAAGTATTCAGTGAATTCATTACAGGTGAAGGAGGTTGGTTTCCATATAATTTGCAGGTGATTACTAGATTTGGTTTATTGTTTTCTGGGTATAACTGGTGACAAGTTAATCTACTGAATCCTTACTGAATTCAACATCAAAGTGGGTTGGTTGCATTGAGAAGCTTTAGGTGCTCTATGAGCAGTAAGGGAAAGTCTGAGTAAGTTAAAGTGGTTTGCTCAGGTGATTAAGAAAATTATACTGGTTGTTTGTTTGTTTGTTTTAGGTTTTACGTCACATTGACACAGTATAGGTCATATCACGACGTTCCAGCTTTACTGGTGGAGAAAGACCTCAGGTGCCCTTCCGTGCATTATTTCAGGCACGAACGGGCACCTGAGTAGAACCACGGACGTTCCGTAAGCTAGCTGGATAGCTTCCTCACATGAAAAAATCCAAAGTCCCTGTTGGGATTCGAACCCACAGCGGTGAGGGGCAAGTGGTTTGAAGTCAACCTTAACCACTCGGCCACAAACGCCCCTATACTGGTTGGAGAGATAACTCTGACACAAAGATATACCCAGCACTTGATAAATATTTTCGTTATAACTTAATTTTTCAACATATATTACAAGCACATGGTCACCTAGTAATACAGGAGCAGGACAGAATGTGATGATATTTTTTAAATTTGGTAATTATTTCTATGTGAGTCCCAGTACTGATTATAATCTAGATAGGTCACATTAAGTGCTGGATTAGATACTAGAAAGGTCTAATCTGGCAACCTGCCTTTCCAAATAGGACACAGAGGAGTTATAACAAACTAAAATAAGGTGATGGTTGACCTGGTGAGATGGTACATCACAGAATTCCATCAGTTTACATCCTGGTCTCCTGTTGAGTGGACAAGCAGAAACAGCTCAGATTATTCTATCTGATGGCCTGTGTGTCAAAGTTTAAGTGGTCAGATCAAGGGTTGGCGTAGATCAATGCTCCCCGCAAATAATGATTTAAAGAATATCTTACTATGTAAAAGCATAACACTGAAAAATGTGACCCACCTCAGCGGACAAAAGACAAGTAACTCTTTAAGATTCTAATCCTAAAACAGCTTCATTTTGCCTGCTAAACAGGCACAGGCGTAGTCCAATTTAGTTTATTAACAAAAGAAATTTAAATAAATTTTCTTAAAATTTTTCGTTTTAATATTGGTTAGGTTTTTTACAAATTTCCAAACACTAGAACATTTACAAATTTTACAAACACTTTTTATCAACTGGTTTCCTAGCAGTTTCCGGCCCCTAGCAGTTTTCCGGCCTTTTATAATTTTCGTCCAGTTCGGTCTACTTTTTCCAGTAGGGCATCTATGTTACCTACACTGTATGTTACTTCATAAAATCGAGAGACATTTGCTTTCTATGCAACACAGCAGTTAAAATAATGCAGCAATTTATATGTTTTGAAGTTTTGTCTGTTGATTAAGATTACCTTAGAGAACATCTTTGCCACATTTAGAAATAAACACCACCTGGGGAATTCTAGTTTGAATGGCTATGCGCAATAACTGATTCCCAATTCCAGGTAAATCAATAATTTTGAACAATGTATTTGCAGATGACGTGAAAAAGGTTAGGAAGTTCTATTTGTTTGATGAAATCATCTTAACATTTCTTACTGGTACTGAATTATATTAAAAATTCAAAGGTCCATAAAACTGCCATGAAATTTTGAATAAACCCGAGAAAAGAGGTAATATTCAAACCTATATTTCCAATCAAAAAGTCAAGTAAAAGAGCAACATTGAAAACATTGTCATGATGGACAGGTACCTAACTTTGATCTGTCAATGTTTTATACTTGTCCATAGACAGATTTTTATTTTATTTATTAAAAAGTGTGATTTGGGGCTTGAAACTGCTAGGAAACCAGTACTGAGTTCAAATAGAAGGCCTACCGTGCGCCAACAATAAGCTAAGTTTGACATTAAGTAACAGCACTGATAATGTAATGCACACTTATTTTACAAGTTCTATTTATAGAACAAACTCAGAAAAATGTCATTCTCATTTTCAATTTACACCATTCCCAGGAATAAATGAATATACACCGTTATCAATTCATTTAATTATTGTTTTTTTACACTGTTTTAAGATTTTGCTGAACGCTAGAGAACTTGAACATCTACGCATTTTCATTATACAATGTGATTGATTTACTGTAGAATTAATAACTTAATACAATTCACAGTGTCAGTCTACAAAATTTATCAAAATATTATAAAGTACGATAATTTTTGGGACGAATAACGTATTTTAAAGCAAAAACATGAATAAAAGCATTTTGTACCGTCTTTGCGCGTCTAAACCCCACAGCCGAATTTGTCTGTCGTACAACGCTGCTTCATCTTCAGTTATTTCAGTTTGTTCAACCATAATAGTTAAGATAGGTTTTATTGACTACTTGCAATTTGCCGGTACCTTGTTAGACAATGGCGTATATGATTCTTCACAAGCTTTATTCGTGCTACTTCTGATTAATTTAACTTCCGTATTTCCCACTCGGTCACCTCGGCGATTATTTAACAACACTCATTTTTCAAGAGTGAAACGTGACTTGATATTAACTGTCTGTTTGTAATTACTGGCTCTGACAAATTTTACATTATAATACTGTACAATATGTTAAATCCCTCGCAGGACGTAATTAAGAGGTCCTTTAGTATAAATAAAAATATATAATTTAGTTATAAAACTTTCTTTACATATGTACAGTACACTTTAATCTTGTGACATTTCTGTAAAACTTGGCTGAAATTCAACAATTAAAACAGCACTATTTCCATCTTGGAAAAGCACAACCCATTTGTGTAAAACGTACTGACATGGCCTCTTAATTAAAAATAAAGAACCCACTTATCTCAAACCTCTTCAAGCATCTCTGAAATTCTACTGTTTAGTTTAGCCAATGAAGTAATTGTCATATAAATATCGCAAGACATTGGATGCATGTACCTGCTTTAAGATTTTTTGCTCCTTATATTTATTTACACAACTTGTTATAATGGTGCAATTTATATGAAAAAATAAATATGCTAAGTATTAATATATGAAATGTAAAGGATATTTAAAATATCCTTTCCTATGCATTGTATTCATTTGACAGCAGCAGACATGTCTGTCAAAAACTAAGTCTTTATGCACATAAGTTGATGATATCATAGTTACTTCTAGTAAAAAATAAACAGCTCATGAATGAAAGGTTTGAGCATAGGTTGGATGTGAGATTAGGTACTTACATGATAGAATTTTTTTTTCATAATACAAATTACATTGTATAACTGCCCACTCAACTCAGTCCAAAATAGTTTGTACAAAATATGATAAACAAGATCAACAAGGAAATGCGGCGTTCAATGAACGCAGCCCCCACCCGACCCAATATCAAGAGCCAGTGGCTTTACAATTACAATATTTTTTTTCACTCTTATACATATATATATTTTGTACAACATAACACATTCTGTGGCTAGAATTATGTAAATAATTCTTTCTGTGGTTTATTTGTAGGTAATCAATGACACCTATGGCAGGTAGTCAATTCCCGAATCGACCTGTTTCTCAAAAGTTTCTGGTCATAATGTAATCAATTTCTGACCATAATCTAACCTACATGTAGTTTCTGATCATGATCTAACCAGTTTCTGACCACAATCTTACCAGTTTCTGTCCACAATCTTACCAGGTTTTGACCACAGTCCAACCAGATTATAGCCAAAACAAAGTAATTTCTGCCTCCATATGTTGTTATTGACAATGAATGTCAAAAAAGGCATTTCTTACTAGATGCATTATTTAAAATGAATAAAGGTAATTTCAGTAATCATTTTAGCAACCTACATGTACAAGTGCAAAATATCTCATTTTGTAATAACTTTAATCACAATTGATTATGTGTGTGCTAACATTTGCCTCCGATAATGATATATTATTTGAAATGAACGATAATGATATATTATTTGAAATGACCGATAATGATACATTATTTGAAATGACCGTAAGGTCATATATATTCCATTCTAATATCCATTTCAATACACGGATTTAATAGCAACAGCAGACATTTTAAAATTATTCATATTATTTTATTATTTGAAACAAAATAACGAAAAAAATGTATTTGCATTTTATTTTCACACATAAAAATACAGGATGGCAATATATATACAAGTACTTTAGATGAAACGTGCTCTAGCGCTATTTCTGACATTTCATGTTAATATCTTCTATTCTTCTGTCAACATTTTATAATTTTACAAATGATGTTTGTGTTTATTCATTGACTTTAATTAATTCTGTTGCTTTTCATCAATTCTGTGAATTCGTCGTCCGTCATATTAAATTTAAAACAACTGGCAAAAACATTTGTGATGCGTTTCTCTCTATATCTGTACATATAGTTGTTTGTACTTTCGAACAGTCTCAATTAAACCGATCCTGCAACAATTTCAATTTTGTCGTGTTAGGCTTTCTTTAGGTATTCTGTTTTTCTTTATTGTATAAATGTGCACATAGATGTTTGACGATTTCGAAACACGTGCAGCATATATACAATGTCTATATCTTAGATATTTTCACCTCATGTATCTCTCAGGACTTTCTTAGTTGACGTACAGTACTATCATACTTTATATCCGATGTTATGTTATCCTTTGGTAGTAACCAAAATTCGACGTCTATAGAACGCCAAAACCTAGGGTCTATTATTGATATTTTTTACTTGATAGCTATATCCACCCTTTAGCCTTTTTAATGCGTTAAATATGGGCGACCGTACACTCAAGTCGGGCCATCCTAGAGCGTCCCGCCGAGATTTTTTCGTCGATTTTTTCCAGCTTTTATTGGTGGAGGAAGACCCCAGGTGCCCCACCGCGCATTTTTTCAGGCACGAGCGGGCACCTGGGTAGAACCACTAGAACCTATGCTCAACTCGGCAGTTGGTCCGCAGGTAAAAGATCAGGTCTTTGTTTATTTTTCTCAATGCCCCGTGCCTTCTCTGCGACATGCTCTGAGTTGCATCTAAAATATATATTAAGGCTATTGATGTCACTAAATGATTTGACAATATTCGGAACAAAGTTTTCGTTTGATATCTTCATAAGTTATCGGCCAACTCAATTGTCCGAGATAAGGTAAATAGTACGGGAGAATCTACACATCACAGTCGCATTAAAAATGGTTTTATTAGAGAATGATACGGTAGGCACAAATAGTTTTGTATAATATATTAATGTTATGTTTTACGATTGTATGTAAATTATACAATGAGTTTAATTTCAGCACTGCATAAAAACTTTCAATTTCTGGAATGTATTATCACCCGGTTTCAAGCATATGGCGAAATGCACAGTCGTGTAAAAAGTTTGAAAAACTTTAATCTTGCCCATTAATTATTCAAACAATTAAAAAAATTATCAACATGAAACTTTAATGCTTTTAAATCTAGGCAACCAGCACAGGTTTGACTCAAAGACAATCTGGTATAAACGGTAGACAGACGTTTCACTATTGAGACGGTTCACACTAAGACGTTTCACTCCCTATTTATACCAACTTTTTTAAGACTTATGATAAATTAAAAATAAAAAATAGACATTAAATTTAATAAAAATTAATTACGGAAGGGAATTTCACTTTTTGTTAAATGACTAATTACTCAGTTCTTGAGTTTGTATATCATAATTGTTATCCCTGTTTCTATATTTATTATCGTACATGTGGAACAGGTAAGAAGGCATTATTTTTGTTATCATAAATACTTTTTAAACAGTGAATATATTATAATTTTATTTTATAGACAGAATTCTGAAATTTTCGACCCTGTATTATGTATGTATATGTAGAAGGTTTAAACCTTTGTCAAGAGATTTATAAGTAATTTAACTTAATGGCAATTGCAATCAGAAATGCCTTTAACTAAAATTAAAATAAAAACATTGGTACTTTTTCAATATTGATGTCAAACTGTTAGTTCTTGGTCTCAGTGTTTGTACAACTAATTATGTGATGAGATTACTGTTAACACCACAATACCTATGTTTGTTAAATGGCTACTGTTTAATAAATTGATAAAGAAATAATTAATGTAATTGATATTTTTATTATTTTAACAATTATTTTTTGGATAAAAATAATTGATATCAAGTTAATGACATTATTTCCATGTGACTTTTTTATGAAAGTACTAATGAAAATATTATTCTTAAGGATGAGCATAGTATAGTTTATATTATAGTTTATATAAGTATGAATTCCTTTTTAATAATTGTGTGTTTTATTTTGAATAACCAACCATATCTTTTATTATCACCTATTAAACCATTTTTCAATGCAACAAAAATAAAAAAATGTATGTTACAGAACTTTAATTGATTATCTACAACAGGAAAACATACATCAATATAAATAATCAATCCTGATATGGCTATTAAAATGGAAATAAATTTGTTAACTTTCCTAAAAAATATCTAAAAAAATGGGAGTAAAACGTCCATTATTATAGTGTCAATTGACAAATTGGGAGTGAAACGTCTAGGTGTGAACCGTCTTGGGAGTGAAACGTCTCAATAGTGAAATGTCTTTGGAGTGAAACGTCTGACATTCTGTATAAACGCTTACCCTGAGTTAACCTGCAGTTTTGAATTATAATATCTACTGTACAGATCTGTAAATTTGACAAAGTACAGTTAGGTTCTTCTCCTAACTTACAAACTTGTTTATTTACTTCTGATTGTGTTGACACTTATTTTTGAGGCCCATCAAGGAGGGTATCAAAATTGATTTAATTCAGATAAAAGCTTGCCTGTTTTAATTTTTCGTTTTCAACATGATATATAATATTTCAGCAGCAAATGCTGTAATTTACAGTATTCTGTTGTTAACTCTACAAACAATTATAGCTAGTATAAGAAGTCAGGTGATCGCACTCTTGATGTCAAAATTTTCAACGCCAATGTTCTTGAAATAGACATTAAAATATTACCATTTACTTAATTTGAAATAAATTTAATTACTTAATTATAGAAGAAATATAATATGCATTTATTGTTGATTAAAAAGTGACTGATAGAGTGATAACCACTTAACAAAGAAACAAACTAAATCCGGCATTTTTGGGGCCGTGAGGGTTTGTTGGTTGCCCGGTTTTGGTGGTCCCGAACCAGTAAACTTACAAATAAATAGATCGATAAAATTATGGACGGTCCATAAATTTAAAAACTGTCCATAAACATCATGAAATCCTAGACATATTAACACAGCATGCGGTACTCTTGTTTCATACTCAATCATAGTCAAGGTGAGCTTTAATGAAGGTTTGTATAATTTTCTCTGTTAATGTTTAAAGATTACATGAAGAGACAGTTTGTCTAATTATTCTAAATTTAGTGTTATGTACATACTTTAATTTTGGATTTTTTTTTCTAAATTTCAAATTTGTGCTGAAAATGGCTCCTATATGACATTTATTGGATTTTTTAAAAATTTATTTTCTGTCATTTCCAGTTCTTTAAGATCGCATTTATACTCCATTTGCATAATTTGTCAGTATCTGTATCATGAAATGTAAGATCAACTTAAACACACTGTAGTCACTGGTACAGTCAGACAATTAGTAAACAAAAATATTTTGTTCACTGAATGATACAGACTTACAGTCAGACAATGAATTCGAACACACATTGTGCTCACTTATAGCCAGATGATGAGTTGACACTCACATTGTGCTCACTTATAGCCAGATGATGAGTTGACACTCACATTGTGCTCACTTATAGCCAGATGATGAGTTGACACTCACATTGTGCTCACTGGTACAAACAGATGATGAGTTGACACTCACATTGTGCTCCCTGGTACAAACAGATGATGAGTTGACACTCACATTGTGCTCCCTGGTACAAACAGATGATGAGTTGACACTCACATTGTGCTCACTGGTACAAACAGATGATGAGTTGACACTCACATTGTGCTCACTGACACTGTCAGATAATGAGCAAACAAACATGTTGTGCTTACTGGTACAGTCAGATGATGTGTTAACAATAATCATTTGTATTTCAGACATCTTCTGTTGATTTCATTAATGAGGATATTTTTTTTTATATTTCCAGTTCCTTACTGAGCTCACAAAGATGTTCCAGAAAGCCAGGAATTCAGGAACAGTAACTCTGACCATGAAGAGATGTAAGTTAAAGATAATTCTTATATTTAAATTAAAAATAAATTTGTGTACATTATGACTTTATGTTGTATTCAGTCATTGAACTAAGTAGTGTTAATCAAAAAGTTTACACCACAAAAACCCCACAACATTTAATGATATGACTAGAACATACAGAAAATTGAAATGTCCATGTTCAGTGATTTTCCTACTTATATAACAGACTCCGAAAAAAAGGCCTCATCCCAGTTGAAATTTTCTTTAAAATCATGCAGTTTTCACCAAAATTCAGAACTTAAACCAGCTTTTTACTTCCCAAATCAGCAATCTTAAGCATTAATTTTTCCCAAAATGAGGAGGCTAAGGCCTCTTCCCAATTAAGAGAGAAAAATCACTGATGTTGTTCTACACAAAATATACACATGAATTATATGACCAGAAATGGTTTACTACACAAATTATGTGCAATATAATATTTTACACAAAGTGTTACCAGAAATGATTGACTACATGTATAAAAGATAAGAAGTCATGTGTCCTTAAAAGGTTTTGCAGCACAGGTAAGTAAACTATAGACACTCCCAATTAACAGTTAAGATAAAAACATTTTGAAAGGAGAAAGCTGTTGCCTTAAGTTAAGATTTTGTATATTATTATTACAGATGATGGGAGAACAAAACCAAAGCCAAGGAAGGGAACTATTGCTGATCCTACAGAGTTTAAATGTTTAGTGAGAGCTTCACTTGGAAATAAAAAATTAAGCACTGTAGTAAGTTAACTATTCCTAAACTCTGACCCTTTATTTGAATAACAAGAGATTTAATCACAAACATTTACGTGTTGTTCAAAATACTTTGTGGGGAAATTCATAGTGTTATCCACTAATCTGATAATTTGAATTGTTACAGGGTGAGAAAAATGTGCAGCCTGACTGGGACTTGAACCTGGGACCCTCAGAATACCGTTCTGTGGTTCTTCGGACGGAGTTATTACATTTTTTTCCCCCTACATAGTTTTTTTATGCCACCGCAGCATCTGCGATGCGGTGGCATATAGCGATTCACCTGTGTGTGTGTGTGTGTGTGTGTGTGTGTGTTTGTTTGTTTGTTTGTGTGTGTGTGTGTGTGTGTGTTACATAGATTATATAGTGAACTTAAAAAATTTTCTTGTAAAAAACCACTAGTCCAATTTCAACCAAACTTGGCAGGATTGATCCTTGGGTGAAGGGCTTCAAAAGTTGTTCAAAGAATTTCATTCCATGCAGAAATCTGGTTGCCATGGCAACCAAAAGGAATTATAAAAATACATTTAAAAAAATCTTCTTGTAAAGACCCAAAAGGCCTAGAGCTTAGATATTTTGCATAAGGCATTGTCTGGTAGACCTCTACCAAGATTATTCAAATTAAAGCCCTGGGGTCAAAATCGGCCCCACCCCAGGGGTCATTGATTTTCACTATATGTACATATAGTAAAAACTTAAAATACCTTCTTGTAAAGACCCAAAAGGCCTAGAGCTTAGATATTTTGTATAAGGCATTGTCTGGTAGACCCTTACCAATTTTGTTCAAATTATAGCCCTGGGGTCAAAATTGGCCCCGCCCTTGGGGTCAATGATTTTCACTATATCTACATATAGTATAAACTTAAAATGCCTTCTTGTAAAGACACAAAAGGCCTAGAGCTTAGATATTTTGCATAAGGCATTGTCTGGTAGACCTCTATCCAGATTGTTCAAATTATAGCCCTGAGGTCAAAATCGGCCCCGCCCCAGGGGTCATTGGTTTTCTTTATATGTATATAGTATAAAAACTTATAGTAAAAACGTAAAAATAATTCTTCTAGCAATTGACAAATGCTAGAGGTAAGATATTTTGCATGAAACATTGTGAAGTGAACTTCTAGCAAGATTGTTGAAATTATAGCCCTGGGGTCAAAATTGCCCCCGCCCGGGGGGTCATTGATTTTCAATACATACCTATAGTAAAATATAAAAAAAACTTATTGTCTGAAGGTACAAGGCTTAGAGCTTTAATATTTGTTAAATGATATCATCTATAGGTACTCTACCAAAGTTGTTCAAATTTTGCCTTTAGTGTCAAAACTAGTCCCGCCCTGAGAGCTATAGGTTTTCCTTATATGTATATATATAGTAAAAACTTAAAAAATCATCTTCTATAAATTAACAAAGGCTAGAGTTAAGATATTTTGCATGAAACATTATGTAATGAACCTCTGACAAGATTGTACAAATTATAGCCCCTAGGGGTCATTGATTTTTACTATGTACATTATAGTAAAAATTAAAATTTTCTTGTCTGAAGGTACAAGGCCTAGAGCTTTGATATTTGGTATATAATATCTTCTAAAGTTGTTTTAATTATGCCCCTAGTGTTAAAATTGCCCTGCCCCAGAGGCGATAGTTTTCCTTATATGTATAAAGCAAAAACTTGAAAAATCTTCTTCTCTGAATTGATAAAGGCTAGAGGTTAAATATATGGCATATGATTTTGCGAAGTGAACCTTTACCAAGATTGTTCAAATTATAGCCCTGTGGTCAAAATTGTCCCCGTCCCGGGGGTCATTGATTTTCATTATGTACATATAGTAAAAAAATAAAAGATATTTTTGTCTGAAGGTTCAAGGCATTGATGCTTTGATGTTTGCTATATTATATAATCCCTGGTATACAGAGGAATGTCACGATAAAAGAAATGTGTTTTTAAGTTGTTTGAATAATTTCTGTAATAATCCATGTGATGTTAATAGAATAAATATGGTAAAAGCAAGATCAGATTATAAACTTTTATTGAGAAAATGTAGGTATGATTATGATAAGCAGAAAACAAATGAATTTGAAAATTGCAGGCTAAAAAATGCACGACTTTATTGGAACATGCTAAAGGAAGCTTCCGGTATAAGAAATGCAAATATATTCGGCTGTCAGTTTTTGAGAGATATTTTAAAGCTGTAAATAATCCGGAAAATAGATTTTTTGTACCAGACGAGGACATTTTAGACTTTAATAACAAATATAAAAATAATGAGTTTAAGGTCATGTTTAAGGAGCTAAATATTGAACTTTCTTCGGACGAGATAATAGCAGCAATTAAGAAATTAAAATATAATCGCTCAGCCGGACCGGATTTATTACTTAATGAATTTTTTATTGCTGGCAGAGACGTGCTCGCACCATATATTTGTTTGTTATTTAATAAAAGTTTTGATTTAGGATATTTTCCGGAGCGCTGGTCCGAAGGTTACGTAATTCCTTTACATAAAAAAGGCAAATTAGATGATGTTGAAAACTACAGGGGGATAACATTATTAAGTAACTTGGGAAAATTATTTACAAGTGTAATAAATAATAGGCTGAAATGTTGGGCTGAATATTATAATGTATATATTGAAGCGCAAGCTGGTTTTAGGTCTAATTTTTGAATTAAACTCTTGGGTCCAAAATTTTGCCATACCCAAGGGGACAGTGACCTACTTTCTTGTCTTTTGATGTGCAGCAATGAAATTTTGACCATGTGTACAGTTTTTGTTGTAAAATTGAACTTTGATATCAGGTGACCTAGATTTTGATGATGTGACCTACTTTCTTGTCCTTTGGTGTACAGCTATGAAATTTGAACCATGTGCACAGATTAAGACGTAAAGTGAACTTTGATTTCATCTGACCTAGATTTTGACAAAGTGTCTTTCTGTGTTGTCCTTTGATGAAGTCATGAAATTTAGGCTGTGTGAAATATGACCTTCACCACCAAATTCACTAGACTTGAGTGCATTGATATATTCATACTCTGATCTTTTATTGTGTTAACAACAGATTTAACCACTAAGCTGATAATAAGAATAAGATAGGTCAGGGATCTATGCATTATGACAATCTTCAAAATTGTCTAGAAACAAAAAAATCTGTTCCTACACTACTATTTAGTGTTGTATTAATGCGGTGGCATAGCATTTTTCTCAAATGCAATCTTGTTTAAAACTATAACAGAATTAAAAAGGTTTGGGTTATGTAGGGATCTATGCATTGTTTACAGCATCTTCATCTTTGTGTAAAGCATGTATTATATGTAAATGTTTAACTGTTTTATAAGTATCACTGTTCAACAATTCAAGTACAAATTCTCTGACTGATTTTCTCAAGGTGACTGAGATATTTGTTGAACATGTTTAAAATGGAATCAAAGATTTCTGCATCAATATTTCCAATAAATGTGGTATAATATATTATAAATTCTCATCTTTAAATGCTTCTGAAAGATTTTTTCATGATTATGTATCTGAGCTTATGAGAGTCTATATTAAATTTATATACATGTAGATATGTGTTATTTATCTCTATTAAGGGAGAGAAACATTAATTTCTTCGAAGTAATCACAGTAATCACAGTAGATATCTCTAATTATATGTATAAAAAGCCAACAAATATATATTACAATAATTTAAAGGGACTCCGCTGAGGTTTTTTGACATGATGGAACCTGAAAATATTTTTTCCTGATAAATGTACCATTTGATGTAGGTTTAGACCACTAATCTTTGTGCAAAATTTCAGATCATTTGCCCACTTAAATTCTTCAGAATAATTATTCAAATTGTAATAAAAATTACCTAAAATGAAAATCATTTAAACGCTTTTCACTCTTTTAAATGCTTTTCACTCTAATCGGGCTAAGAAAAGCATAAAAATATTATTTTCAATTTATTTCAAAGTATATTTCTTAACTACCCTTGCATATATTTTTGTTTAAAGTGTCCCAGCTCATTTATGTAAGAAATTCAAATGTTATGTTGTAGGCTTTTAAACCTCAGTCGGGTCCCTTTAATATTATAAAAGGCATTTAGTAATGAACATATTTTACCAGCATAATTTATGTTACTTGTTTAATTAAAATCCATGTACACATTACCTTTGTGTTTAGTGCTAGTGTTCAAGTCAACACAACACTTAGGTTAATAATGGAGATGTGAGGTGATTACCTATGTTACATGTTAGTGTTCACATACACACAAAATTTAGCTAAATAAGAAAGAGAGATGAGGTTTATGTCGCTACCTTTGTGTTGTGTGCTAGTATTCATGTCAGCACCACACTTATGTTAATAAGGGAGATATGAGGTAATTACCTATGTGTTGTGTGCTAGTATTCATGTCAGCACCACACTTACGTTAATATTGGTGAGGTGAGGTAATTACCTATGTGTTGTGTGCTAGTATTCATGTCAGCACCACACTTACGTTAATAAGGGAGAGGTGAGGTAATTACCTATGTGTTGTGTGCTAGTATTCATGTCAGCACCACACTTATGTTAATAAGGGAGAAGTGAGGTAATTACCTATGTGTTGTGTGCTAGTATTCATGTCAGCACCTCACTTATGTTAATAAGGGAGAGATGAGGTAATTACCTATGTGTTGTGTGCTAGTATTCATGTCAGCACCTCACTTATGTTAATAAGGGAGAGATGAGGTAATTACCTATGTGTTGTGTGCTAGTATTCATGTCAGCACCTCACTTATGTTAATAAGGGAGATATGAGGTAATTACCTATGTGTTGTGTGCTAGTATTCATGTCAGCACCACACTTATGTTAATAAGGGAGAGATGAGGTAATTACCTATGTGTTGTGTGCTAGTATTCATGTCAGCACCACACTTATGTTAATAAGGGAGAGATGAGGTAATTACCTATGTGTTGTGTGCTAGTATTCATGTCAGCACCTCACTTATGTTAATTAGAGAGAGGTGAGGTTATTACCATGTGTTGTGTGCTAGTATTCATGTCAGCACCTCACTTATGTTAATAAGGGAGAGATGAGGTAGTAACCTATGTGTTGTGTATTAGTATTCATGTTAAAATAATGCTCGAAAAGGCACATGATGATAAGGTCTTCTTCCACCAGTGGAGCTGGAAAGTGACCATATGACTATTACTGTGTTGATGCAAAGTTAAAAAAAAAATACCCCAAAAGTAATACACATTTGTTGTCTATGAGCTCTTTGTTTGATAAAATTTTTGTTGACTATTTCAGATTAGTCAAAAAGATGTTAACAAAGTACAGATGGTGAGTATATATCATCTCTTTAATTATAAACAATGCTGATGTTTAATCTGAGGAGGGATTTTTCTTAAGATTGCTAATTCACTAGAGTTAGAATAAAAAATTATGAATGTTCAAATTCTCTTAGGTGTATGAAAGGATTACCAAACTTCATATATGATATTCTTGGTATGTACCCTTTCAGATTTGATAAAATAACTTTTGACCTCTGAAAATCTTCATATGAATCTGTGGATGATCCCTGACTGGTGTAAAACATTCTTAAAGAGACTCCACTGAGGTATTTTGCCATGATGGCAGCAATTTTTCAAGTTAAATGTTCCATTTGATGTTGGTCTAGACCAAGAACTTGTGTGTAAAATTTAAGATCATTTGCTTACTTTGTTTTACTTGAATAATTACATGTATTTAAATTGTGATTATTTCTTAGCTCTTATTGAATAGATTCCTTGGTTCTTTTACATGTCCAGTGTTTACCACTGATACATGCGAGGATTACCTGGGTTTCATACCAGTAAACCTCTAGTTAGGTGGGAAACACTGAAAGTGTTTCTGAAAAATCCCAAGGGTGTTACCCAGGATCAAACTTGGAACCTCAGGAGTGACAGTCAGTGGTCTGACCAATTGAGCTATTGCACCACCTATGTTTAATTAAAACCTCACATTTTCTACACACCCACTAATTGTATGTCCTCTTTGCCATATAGAATTACTATACACTTATAATGGTACAATAGAGCTTCAATCCCAATATGACAGAATGTAACAAATACCTGATATTGTGTGATCATGATTGATTGGTTTATATATTGTTAATGAATGATAGTGAGATATCAGAAGGTTATATCATTATTATATAGTGTGATTATTAATCATATTGTATCACACCTGTTGTCAATTCACATGTCTTTCTATTGTTCGCAAGAATAAAACCTTATAAAATAAAATTGCTTTGACAAGGAAAATGTTTCGAAGGGAGAGTTATGTAAAAAAAATGAATACATGTATAATCATTAGAATAACAATACCTTACCACATTTTAACAATATCAGATGTTGAGGTTTGCTTTTGGTTATTTGGTCAGTAGTTACATTAGATTTGTATTGCTATAGTAAAATATCAGTTACTGTTTGTAAAACTTGTTTTCATTATTTGATAACATTAATTGTTCCGGTTGTTCACTGCTTACATTACAGCCTGTCTGAGTAAATGAATCATAACAGTCTGTTAAATAGCCATTAAATAGGGCTCCATTAATAGTCAGTCAATAGTCAGTTAATTGATCATCATAATCATCATGCTAACAGCTAAGGTTTTAGGGAGGTAGCATTACCCTCTTTAGTCTTAACCTTTGAAAAATCAACATTAATCATGCCCCTTGGGTAATATTGGCCCCCTCTGGGGTAACTTGATTTTTGTAAACTCAATAAAACTTATGTAAGAAAACACAATTTTTTCATGGTTTTACTTCATAAATATGATGCTCAAATTAAGATTTGTCAATTTTGTTAGTTCCAATAAGCATTATTTATAAAGATAATACCCAATTTAACATTTCATGTAAATAAAGGGAGGTAATTAGAAATTTATTTTCTACAAATTCTAAGTCAAATTTTCTGTTAAGAAATGAATGCATGTATTTCATTGTGCACAAATATTGGCAGTACATATTTTACATATTCTTCGTTGTTTGAATTTGCATGATAATATACATATATAACTTTTTGCAAGTGTGGTATACACACAGTAACAATATCAATCACAAAACATACAGGATCTTTAAGTCTTATTGTGTGAACTAGTAAGCACAGAGCTTAGATATTTGGCATGTGGCATGACTTTCTACAAAAGTTATGTCAGTCATGACTCACAGGTACCTGGCCGTAAGAGTCATTTGCCCAATGTAGACTAATGTATAGGAAAACACATCTTATGTTTTTTGCTGATGAATACTATGCCTCAATATTTAGCATATAGCATTGGCTAGTAGACCTCTATAAAAGTTTTATGAATTATGCATTTTGGGTAAAATGTCTATATCTTGGAGGTCATAAGTATCATAAGGACAATTAAGATAAAATATTTTTGAGTCGGTCTCTTGTGTTAATGGTACTTATTATATTAATGGTTTTCTGTTTTGTTATGTTTCAGGCATATTGTAATCTACTGAAGGGTAATATGGACGGTTTAAAGAAAAGAGACAAGAAAACAGGAAAATCTAAAGTGAAAGCTACACAGTGATATTGTATAGTGACATTTGTGATACATTTGACGGTTATTGACATTCAGACCAGGCAGACTGTATTCTGATATTTTCAAACAAAGTCAGACATTTAAAACATTCTGTATTGTACATGTATTGTTAAATTTGTTAACATTAGTGTTTATTCATTTTTACACCTGGTATATACAGTCACATTCTTTCAAGTCAGCCTGGCTCTGTTTTTGGTTTTGCACAAAAAATGTGACTATAAGTCAAAACATATTGTTATGCTAGTGCTGATTCAGATAGCTGGAACAGAAAACATTTATGTAAACTGTTAGTAGAGGTTTTTAGATATCAAACGAAAACAGAAAAAAAAAATGTTTTATTATGCAGATAAATACATTGCTGTTCTGCCATATTTGTAATATCTAAATGTAATGTTTTGAGAAATAGATTTAAATAACTTGTGGTTTATCTGAGGATGAAATTGTAGTGGTATTTATGTATATTAGTCATCAGCTTCAAATTGTCATACTGTTAATAATGACATATATATACATGTACAAGGTAACATTTATTTTGGCATAATGTACATACATTATAATATAACAACTTGTAGTGAAAAAAAACAACAAAACACTACACCATGTACACAGTCTCCATGGTATTCACACAAACACAAGGGGTAACATATATATGATAAACTCTGAATTCCTTTTTGACTTAGAACATTGCCTTTTTCTAAAAAAAAAAAAAACCAACAAAAAAAAGCTTCAAACTTGTATTTGCATAATTATTCTCCTTTTCTGTGTTGATTTATTGAATGATCTAGCTCTGAGAAAAGTGTGGCAAGCTGTCTGCAAACAGATCTTGTGCAAACAGATCTTGTTATTTACTTGTATTATGTAGTGCATATAAGATAACCACTTGCCCCTCACAGCTGCAGGTTCGAATCTCGTCTGGGACTTTGCATTCTGTTCATTTGAAGAAGCTATCCTGCTAGCTTTCAGAATGTCTGGAATTCTACTCAGATGCCCTCTTGTGTCTGAAATAATGCATGGAGGGGCCCTGAAACAAACAAAAGTGATAAAATAGGAAATTAGTACAAATAATGATTAAGTTAAATTTTTTGACTGGTAATTTCTTTTGCATAGAGGTTTTGGTTTGATGAATAAAATGTTAACGCACCTGTACATGTATGCCATATTTTCCTAATATTAAAAACATTATTGAATATTACAATAATTAATATTTCATTTCATATTAATATGTTTATCTGTGCAACATTAAATATTAAAATTTATCAATCTTTGATTTATTTGTCACTAATTTATATTTATATAATACTTAGCACACAATAACTCGTGAATACTTTGAGAGGAACAATTTGATATCACACTACTGCATTATATTTATGATTGTAGTTATAATGAACTTTGTGCTTGTCCATATAATTATATATATTCTTCTTGGAGTATTCTGTATTACTAGTAATTACACAAATGTTGTGAATGTGCTTGTATAAATGGCCTTACATGTGTAATATTTAGTTTAGTTTAATACAATTATTTTGCTCTTTGAATACAATTTTAGAACATTATTTTCACATAACAATTTTAACAAAGGGCAAAAGGGTTGTACAACAAGTTCTAGCCACATAAGCAACTTTCCTTGCCTTAAGCATAAGATATAGAAACGAAAAGCATGCTTATGAGCAATAATATTAAGACTGATACAAATATAAAGTAGCAAAAAGAAATCAACATTAACTTTTTAAAAAGAAGAAATTGAACGTTTCCTATCAATTTTATTATTATTGTAGTATATGATGGTTTGTATGGCTGTTCAAAAGTTGTCATTTATAAAAGGAACGAAAATGGAACAACAATTGTTAATTTTACATACAGGAGGGGATATGATACGATTTTCCATTTATTTAACAAACGCATTCAAGTTGAACACACATTTCCAATAAATGTGATGGTGCGTGGAAAATACAGTGTTGCAAAATGATGATGTTAGTGATTATAATTCTAATGCTGTAAATGAACACAGACTGAACAGTCTGGCAACGTTGTCTCATGGATCTGACATATATTGTGCCTAATTTGTTGGTAGATTTACAATCTTCACTCGTAAGCTGGCGATGGTGTGACACTGCACAAAAGTAATCAAACATATACAAGTGTTCATTATACAGCTCGGTACGAATACAGCGCTTTAAACTAAGGTAATAGCAACAGAGGTTTGCGGCTGCTTCAGAACGTTGCACTTGCGCAAATTACAAAGGCGTACATCGTGTTTCCCCTCTAAGGCGTTCATTGTGTTCCCCTCTTACACTAGCACTAGGTTGTTCATCGTGTTTCCACTCTAAGATGTTCATCGTGTTCCCCTCTTACACTAGGCCGTTCATTGTGTTTACCTTTAAGACGGTCATCATATTTCCCCTCTAACACTATGGTGTCAATAATATTTCCCCTCTTACACTAGGCCGTTCATCGTGTTTCCCCTCCAAGACGTTCATCGTGTTCCCCTCTTACACTAGCCCGTCCATCGTTTAACCCCTCTAAGACGCCCATCGTGTTCTCCTCTTACACTAGCCCGTTCATTGTGTTCCCCTTTAAGACGTCCATCGTGTTCCCCTCTTACACAAGGCCGTCCATCGTTTTACCCCTCTAAGACGACCATTAAGACGTTCATCGTGTTCCCCTCTTACACTAGGCCGTCCATCGTTTTAACCCTCTAAGACGTTCATCGTGTTCCCCTCTTACACTAGGCCGTCCATCGTTTTAACCCTCTATGACGTCCATCATGTTCCCCTCTTACACTAGGATGTCCATCGTTTTAACTCTCTAAGACGTCCATCGTGCTCCCCTCTTACACTAGGCCGTTCATCGTTTTTCTCCTCTAAGACGCCCATCGTGTTCCCCTCTTACACTAGGCCGTCCATTGTTTTAACCCTCTAAGACGTCCATCATGTTCCCCTTTTACACTAGGATGTCCATCGTTTTACCCCTCTGCTATGTTGAATTATAACTGGTGACACATCAAACAACCCTTTACACCGTGTTTATCCAGTAACGCCGGAGTGTGAAAATAACGCACGATTCGTGCTAAAAGTAACGCTGAATTGTGCAATAAATGGCGGATACCTGACAGGATTTCCAACGCGGTAAGTAAACTGGCCAGTTCATTTTTATTTAACCAAACTGATATAGAAAATTGAAATAAGCTGATAAAATGTGATTAAAGTCTTTTTTATGAGGTAACGCCGATGTACGTGAATTGTGATTCGCGGTAACGCCGGAAAATGTGATTTTTTCATATATTGTACTGAACTGTTAAACAGGTTTAACGCAATTAATCGGAGAGTATCAGCACTTTTCAAATATATTTTGGTGGAGAAACTTTAATTCATTTTATACAGAATTTACTTTAGTCTGATTGCTTAGAAAATAAAAACACAGTCTCTAATCCGTCCCTGAAACCACAGAGCTATATTAGCATCCTAATATAAGTCTTTGTTGAAGTGAGTAGGTGGCAATGCGTGAACATTTTCTAACTCAAGGAAACAAAGGGGTAGCAATTTCTCAATACCTATTGAGATGGTAGTTATGAAAATGGGCTTTGCTAAATCATGGAATTTTTCATTGTTCTCATATTTGACATAGTAAACACGAAGAAGTCCACTTTTAGACCTTCATGGCATGGATAGATAATATCTTCCTCAAGAACATCTCTAGTAGCTCTCCATATACATGTACATTGTGTTAAGAAACCAAAATATATTAAACCTATTTTTAGTCTATGTCACCCTTTACCTGGTAAATTTGAAATGGTTTTGCTCAACTGTGAACTTGGAAGAGTTCATTCAAATTCTGAGAAATTGGTATTAGATATTTAATGTATTTGTACAAATGAGCTACCTGATTGAGCAAATGGTCACTGTATGGATTTGATCTGGCTCTGCACTGGTGGCCTCTTTTAGGGTTACTAGTATTAGTCATGTTAGTTTTGTAAACGTCTATAGTAATGCCTAGCATAAGCTCTTATGGTAGATTCATTTGTTTTTCCATATAATAAGAAACCCCCAAGAGTAGGATAAATTTTTACCCCACGGATTATAAATTATTTAACTTTAGCAAAGGACAATAAAGTTATGCTTTTACAAGTTTTGGGCATTATAGTTTCTAAGTAAAATATTTTTTGAATACAAGTTACTTCCTTATATAAGAGAAAAAATTAATTAAATAAATAATGCAAGTTCACCAGGCAAATTGCTACAGCCAAATATTTGTTTTGGTTGGGTTTCACATCATGCCAACACAATAAAGGACATATGGAGAATTTCAAGCTTTACTGGTGCATTATTTCAGGCATAAAATATACAGACATTTTTTTCTCTTGATTGTTTTTTTAATTATTTTTATATTCAATTTGTTTGCAAAGAAAGTTTATTGTTTTTATTTTCTAACAAGATCAGACGTGGGCAACATGTTTTGCAAATAATAATTTATTTCTGGGAACAATTGTCAAATTGTATTAAGTAACAATATGCAATAAAAATGTTGAAAGTTTAACAAGATCTTATTATCATAAATTTCTTAATAAGTTACGAAGAAAATACATTGACTAGGTCGCAATTAACTTGATTATATTTGCCAATAAAAGGCGTCAAACCTGTGTAACAATTTTTTCCCATAATATAAAATTTTTTTAATCCTTTTTTCGGGCCCGTTACCCGCGACGCACTATTAAAGTACCCCGGCGTTACCCCAAAAAACGATTTAAATCAATTTTATATTTAATTAAAATTTTTTTATACCACTAGAATTTAATTTTAGGGTCCACCTGCCAAACCGAAAACGAAAAAATAGGGAAATAATATGCATTGTTGTCTTTTAAAAAATCCCGACAAAAACCAAAAAAATTCCTAAAAACGGGGGTTTCAACCCCATAAATTTTCACAAATGATTTTTGAAAAGTAAACAATTTCGGGGAAAAATTTTTCTTGTGAGGAAAAAAGAGAAATTTTCGCAGCCGAAATCCTTTTCCCTTTTTTTAAATTTTGGGTTTTAAATTTAAAAAATTTTTTGGCCAGTTTATTTCCCCGCGTTGGAAATCCTGTCAGGAATCCGCCCCAAATTTATTTGCACAATTCTGCGTTACTTATAGCACGGGAATCGTGCGTTTTTTTCCCCATTCCGGCGTTACTGATATGCCGGTGCTTTAACTCTTAGGAAAAAATACAGATGGATTCCTTAGCCTAAAAACCCGGGAAAAATTATGAAATATCTGAGTTTCAAAGGGGGAAAGGTAAATTAATAGATGGAATGAATTACTTGAAAGTGTGTCACAGACGCCCGGATATGATAATAAAAGTGTTGTTCTCCCAAGCTGAAGTAAAAGTAAAGATAGGGGCAATATTGAATATAATCAAAGCAAAATTGAATAAAAAAGGGGATATTTCTCATAAAAATTTTAAGAAAAAAAAAAAATTAGGAATAAATATGAAAGAAACTATCTTACTTTTTCACTTCAAAAAACACTGAAAAATTTATTGATTTAAACCATGGTTTTTTAAAAGAATTTTAAGGAAATAATTCAGTTGAAATTTGGGCAAAAAAGTTGTGAATCAGAAAAAAGTTTTAAAAAACGGTTTGTTTCTGTAAAATAAAAAATTTCTGAGTTTATTTTCCCTTCTCGGAGAGAGAAAAAAGTTTTTAAAATTTTATCTAGAAAAAATTTTTACAATAATTCAGAGACTTTTCGCACATTTTTAATGGAATCAAAGTGAAAAAAATATTTGAAATCTTTTTTAAGGGCCCTATAGGAAAACCTTTTTTTACCAAACTGAAAATTAAATTAAATCTTTTTTTCTATTGAAAATCGAAAATATGGTAAAATTAAATTTTCAAAAATTCGATTTTTTTGTTTTTTTTTTCCACTTTTAAAAAAACGTGGGTTTAAAAAAGGGTTTTTAAATTTTTCCTTTTTTAAACCCAAAACTATTAGACTAATTTAAACAAAAAATTAAATAAAAAAATAAATAAAAATAATGTTTTTAGGGAAATTTTATTTATATTTTGAAAAATTTTTGGGATATTTTAAACAAACCCAAACGGGCTGGGATTTGGGTTATCATTTTTTAAAACCAAATTTTTTAGTCTTTAAAAACTGTATCATAAAATTATTAATTTTCTAAATAAAATATGTATTAATAAAACATTAACTTGAAATGATGAAACAAATTCTTTTATAACTTAAAACTTTTATCTTTTTAAAACATCTCACTGGTAATTT